TCTGCTACTATACTGCAGTATCTAGCATAGTGTCTAGTGGGTTCTGATTCAGTATAGGCTGTTTTTTTTTACTGGGGTGGAAGTCTCAAAATAGAGTGATTTCTGCAGTAAAAAGGCAAATGTACATTGCTTTACACATTTGAATTGGGGTTTGCACTTTCCTCTCCATTTACTGGGCTATCACCTTTGTTCAGACTTCTGTTTTTACAGCAGATCATTTTACCAGATTATTGTCCTGAGCTTTCCCCATTTCAGATCGCCAGTCTTACTAGATATAAGTAACTCTTCTTCTATAGCAGCGGAATTTTCAGAATTACCTTCGGGAAAATAGAGATAGGAAAATACGTGCAATTTAAATTCCTCATATTACTTTGCTACAGTTTTGGAAATTAAAAATGGTTGTTAAGTTTGGCAATTCTAGCTAGTTTTAGAGTTACGATCCAGAAGTTTGGAGAACATATTAATGTTAATGGCAAATTATTTCTCCTTTGGTTCAAGAAAGGCAGTTGAGATTTTTTGGGACCTAAGGTAATGACTTACACTTACATATTTTGACTATATCCTCAATGTCCTACCAAAAGACCCAACCAATTCATAAAAAACACTCTGCCATGACTTGGTGCTGATACCATCTTCTCTTTATCGCCCCCACCCCCCACCAAAAGAGAATGACTATGCAGAGACTTTGCTGAGACTATGGAAACTCTCAGACTGAAACTTTCTTAACCTCCAACTTCCTGAGCTAGACATCTTCTGTCTTCTTTGTTCTTACCATCTCTTCTAAAAAGGTCTAGTCACTCTGTCTTGACTTTTGAATCCCCCATCACCAGGAATTTTATTTTATCACATTGCTCCATTTCTTGGGATTACTACCCTCTTTTCTGGACTCTATCAGCATTCACTATATTCTGGTCTCTCCCATTTAAAAAAGAAAAAAGGAACCAAGTGGACAACTTCTCTGGGCCTTTCAGCCACTCTCTAACTTGCCTCTCCTCTCCACAGCCATGCTTTTTGTTAACAGAGCATTCTGTTCAGTCTCCTTTGGTCTGATTTATGCACCAGCCATATCTCCAGGGTTGCTTTCGCAGAGGTCACCAGTAACTTCTATAACGCCAACCCATGAACACCTGTTAGGCATGATCATACTTGACCTCTCAGCAGATTCCACATGGTTGACTGTGCCATTATTTTTTACTACTTCTTACCATAGATTTTTTGTTATTTATATATTTGCACCTTTTACCAGATCACCACTTCTAAATTACTTATTTTGATCCATTGCTTGATTATTTTTAATCAATTAAGAAGGGTTCATGGGTGCTATATATTCCATGAATTCTTGCATGTTCAAGCATGTCTGCTTGTTGCCTTTTAATTTTTTTCTGATTATAGAAAGAGTACCAGTTCTCTATAAGTATATAATAAAGCATAGTTTATTCTAATATTTCTACATGTGAGTGTTTATAGATCTTCTTGTTAGCACCTTCCCTTGACTTGTGAGATACCACTCTCTCTTGCTTTTCTCTCACCTTTGCTTTCCTTCTCGGTTGTTCAGGTTTTTGCTACTCCTGTGAGCGTCAACCAGCAGTTGGCCACACCTAGGGTTAAAAATGCAGAATCTCAGGCCCAGCTTCAGAATAATTCTGATTCTAAGACCAAACCTGCAATAAGATCCCTAGATGATTAGTTGGCACCGTAAAGTTTGAGAACTGTTGCAGTCTAGGCCACTGCTTCTTGGGATTTCTCTTATTTTAGGCATGCTCCTCTTCCCTGTGATTTCAGATAGCATTGTGTGTTAACGCCTCCTCCTCTGCACTCTGAACTCTTGTACGTCAACTGCTTTTCTGCCAAGATCTCTCACAGGCATCTAGATCACTCCCACTTTGCATTTCATCTGCTGCTATACTGCAGTATCTAGCATAGTGTCTAGTGGGTTCTGATTCAGTATAGGCTGTTTTTTTTTTTTACTGGGTGGAAGTCTCAAAACAGAGTGATTTCTGCAGTAAAAAGGCAAATGTACATTGCTTTACACATTTGAATTGGGGTTTGCACTTTCCTCTCCATTTACTGGGCTATCACCTTTGTTCAGACTTCTGTTTTTACAGCAGATCATTTTACCAGATTATTGTCCTGAGCTTTCCCCATTTCAGATCGCCAGTCTTACTAGATATAAGTAACTCTTCTTCTATAGCAGCGGAATTTTCAGAATTACCTTTGGGAAAATAGAGATTTTAGGAAAATACGTGCTATTTAAATTCCTCATATTACTTTGCTACAGTTTTGGAAATTAAAAATTAAACAATTTTTTCCCTTAGCATTATTGTTTTATAATGAAGTTTGATTTTTTTTAACTTCTGGCATTTTAAGCTGTTAAATTTTTAAGGAGACTTGCATTAAATTTAAATTTAATTTTGTCAGTGTGTGAGAGGTAAATCTTAAAATAGATTTTTAACATAACATTTTCTGCATAATACCCTTCACAATGTCAAATGTAGAAAGTACTTCTTTTGCAAAAGGAGTTAAAGGATGAAAGCCCTTAAATGTTTTGAATGGAGTTTATTTAACCCATTGATTCCTAATAGAACAAATTCATAATATGAACATATACTTTATTTTACAGTGAATATTATATCATTTCTAGGAATAATTTTTGGAGAAGTAAAAGAAGCCTGGAGATATTTGCATCCTATCTTTTTTTACTAAATTAAAAATGCAAATTTCACTTCTTACCCTGACAGTTGTTTTCACAATTCTCAATCGGACTAGTCTTGATAAAGCAGTTTATTTATTGTCCCCTTTGAAGAAAAAAATTGCTAAAAATGACACGTCTATATCATGCCCAAGCCTGTACCTCCTGTGTATGTTGTTTGTAACTTGCTCTACAATACACTGTGATCCTTTTTGCATGTGTGAGTACATTTCTCCATGTTAAACCTTTATTTTGTAAGTAACTGTATTAGCTTCCTGTTGCTGCTGTAACATAACATTGTCACAGGTTCAGTGGCAGGTGTTAAGGATGCAGACATCTTTGAGGGGGGCATTATTTGCCTGCCATAGTAACATTGTGTAAACTTCAAAAAACAGTTGTGTATTACTAGGCATGAGGTATGACTAATCAGAGAAATTGTTCATCAGCCCTTTATAAAAAGAAACCAAGTTCTCCACATGAAATCAAGAATAAAAGTTTAAATCCATCCACTTTACTGTAAGTATGTTAATGTGACAAAGCAATGATTAAATGCTCTGAAATTACTGAGAGCACTGAAAGCTGATTATAAAATGTTTTGATGTAGATTAAAATCTACTCAAACTTAATACCAAACTGGGCTTGAGATGTATGCTTTAGAAAGTATAGGTACTAGGTCGCTCTTCCTAAATTTTGGATTTTTGTTAATTTTTTATTTTATGGCTTGTTTTAGTGTAATATAATTTTTGTGAAATTTTAAGCTCTCTGTAAAACCAGTGTAAATATTCTACCTAGTCGAGAAATTTATTAAGGTTTATTGTGCTAAAGGTTAGTTAAATGGCAGTTGATCTTTGGCAGACATGTTTGATCACCTTTACAAACTCCAAAGTATCTTTTGGAACCCATACATTTAAACTCTCTTTTGGAACCTACTAACTAGTAGATGACCTCAAGCAAGGCAAGAAAGTTTGGAGATGTCAGGTGAATACATATTTTGGAGTATGTACCATCTATGATATACATAAATTACCCATCTCCCTTAATCCAGACAAAAGCTGTGTGAGGCTGGAAATACTGTCCCAGTTTTATGACTGAGCAGGTGGTGAAGACTGGGTTTGAATCCACCTGTGTGTAGGTGACTCCAGAATGCCTACGCTTTTATTGTCCTGACTCACTTGTTGAGAGGTTTGTGTGTAGGTTAATGGTTTTCAGATGGTGCTATAAGTCTCTGTAACAGATCCTTTGGAAGTTTGGGAAAAAAGATTTTTTTCTCTCATAATCATTCCTTCCCTTTGACTTGTTTTATACATTTCGGTTCAGTTTTAACTGTTTGGAAAGAGTTTCCCTGCTTAAAACATTTGGAGTCTCCTGCCCTAGAAGCCTGAGACCTCTCTAGAATGAATATGTATTAGAAAATAAAAATGTAAGTAATAACAGTCTTTATCTAATTTTAATGATATTTCTATTCCTAATGATGTTTTGTGTAGCCTAATATTAAAATGAGGTTGAAGTGTTTGAACACACTATTAAGAGGGCTGGGAAGTGATTAGAATTAAAATTTGATGTGGAAAATGGGTAATCTGCAACTTACTGCACAGAGTTCACTCCCACTACAGCTCCTGCTGCGTTTGCAGGCTGCCCTGTAAGCATGATGTAATGACAGGTTAAACCCCGGAGTGTACTACCTGACGCAGTGCAAAGCTGAAGCCCAAGACTTTATTGGGGCACGGGTAATGCTTCTTTAAAAACAAAACAAGCTTCTCTGTTTAATGAGGCCATTTAAGATGGTTTTCCCAGAGTGGGAAGAGAGTATAATCTCAGTTTGGAGGTTGAAGGAGTTTAATATGGTTATGTAGTGTTTACTACTCTCACTGCAATCTTTTCGAAGGGGGAGAAGGAGTTTCAAGTATGGTGCCGACAGGGGTAGAAGTAGAGGAGTGAGTTAGAATTGAGGAAATATGGTAGTTGACGCCCGGTAAATAGTAATGAAGTGTGGAGAATGCTTTTACTCTATGTTCACACGGTTAACCAGGAGAAGAGCACTTGTCTGGCCATGTCTGTCCCATATACTCTGTGTAGGTCTTAGGTTGAAATCATACAAAATTGCCAGTATCTGTTTTGTTCTACGGAAAGGCATGTTTCAATCTAAATGTAAGCTTGTGGAAGTGCTGATGTCGCAGTGTTGCTGGGGGTCAAGGGTAGGGTTGGAGTTGCTCTACGCCGTGCCCCGGAGCTGTCCTGGGCTGGGAGGGCGGAGCTTGCGGGCGTGCCCACAGCGTTAGCCCCGCCCCGCCAGCCCCGCCCCACGCTAGCTGCGCCGAGAGCCTGGGGCCGGCTGGCATCGCGGGCTGGAGCAGGCTTGCCCAGCAGCGGCCAGGCCCCAGGCCTGGGCTCCGCGTGGCTCTCCCGGCGGGCCGGACCCTATAGTAGCTCCAGAGCTGGCTCCGAGGCCGCGCTTACTCCAGCCTCCTCGCACTCTACAGCCCCGTCCTTCACCCAAGCTGGCTAGCTAACGAATGTGAGGAAGACAAACTTGCAAGACTGACGGTTTAGGGCCCAGAGGAGGACAGCTCAGTGATGGCGCCCAGTTTTGGAAACGCAGGCGAATTTGAGCTCGCAGGGAGGTGTGGTCGACTTCTGCTGGGACGGGAGAGGCTTCATTTCTCTGCGGCTGCGGTGGCCGGTGCTTCGGAAGAGTGAAATGGAGTGTTATAGAGCAGGGCACTTATCTTACCTTCTTGAAAACTTGAACTCGGACATGCGTAGGAACAGAAGGTGTCCAGGAGGGGCCTCTGTTAAAAATCGTATTTGCTTCTGGGGGAAGGGCTATGAGCTACCTGACTTCTCATGACCGGGAAGTCTCCCTTACCTTTTCTGTACTCCTGGAGGGGCGTCTTGCTCACATGTTTACCAGCAGCTGGGACAAGGAGGAGAAAAGGTATTGACATTAAGAGACTGGGTTGCTTAAACTATGAAACGGGAAAGTTGTTGTAAGCCAGTGGAATCTGGATCAGGGAGTGGCTGCAATGTAATTGAGCTCGAATTTGCAGCTCTGTTTCTTTTGATCAGCTGTACTTTTCTCTGTTTTTTAAACTAAGCTTCAGGTTACGTCACTCCTGCAGGGTTGTCTAAAGACACTTGAGCCCTTGGTTCCTACTGCAGGGCTGTTGTGTGGTTGGGTTCTTTTTGTTTGAAGATGGATCTGGGTTCTACCTTTGGAGCTTTGGGAGGTTTTAGCAGCTGCTGTCCTGTAATACCTTCATTCACAAGAAATACCGGCCTCATTTCACTTGTTTTCAGTCTTTAGGGATTTAAATTGTGCTTTCTACAGTGTTTGGAAAAATAATAAAGATATATTGTAACATAAGCCTGAATGATTGATGATTAATGTACAGCTATTTGCTAGGTTAGGAAATGAAATGATAGTGTTTTTCTGCTTATATTTTCCTAGTTCTGTTATGTTGAATACAAACTGATTTTACTGCCCCTTGATGTGTGACTAGCTTGTTTTGGTTTAGTGATTTGAAAAGGCATTGGTGGTTTAGACTGTTTTGTGCTCAGGGAACCACTTTTCCAATTCTAATGTTGCTCATAAGTGAACAGTATAAAATGGACCATGAAACAGGCATACAGCATATATATGGGGCATTTTAGCAATGCTAAGCCCATTGTTTCCAAGTGATGGAAAGTGAGTGCATCATCATATGCACAAAGAATCTAACACCTGGGTTATACAGTGTTTCAGATGATGAGAATTGATTCCTGTTGTCCCTAAGTTCCATGTGATAAGCCACATTATGATGGAATTCTGTACTTTTGTAAACTCTTGAATTGTAGAATATTAACTTTAGTTGACAGTGGACTTAATCTTTTTTGGGGGGGCAGCTTCAGCCCTCACTTGAGGTGTCTATCCTTGAGTAATCTAGAACTCAAATTGCATTTATATGGTCACATTGGTAACCAGCATTGTTTTTTCAAAGTCACATTCTTTGCAACAGAATAACGATTTTAATTGAGAAAGCTTTAAATTTGAGGCATTAAATTCTAATTTTGTTAGAAATATGGCTTATATAGTTATGGGGAATACAGTCTTAGGACATTAGTAGACTGATAATTTTGTTACCCCCGAGACAAATATGGCCTGTCATATCCTAGCAAAGGTAGTTTCCTGGGAAAGTTGTTTGCTTTATCTTTCATTTAGCCTGATAAGTTACATTGTTGTCATTTCTTCCAAGTGACCCATTTATCTCTTAAATATGTACTACTGTACTGATGAATGCTTCAGCAACACTGGTGAACCCTAGGGTACAAGGAATTCTTAACCTGTTCACTGTACTGTCCCCAAGGTTGTGTGTGTCTCTCTGGTGCTTTTATCTTTATTCTTTATTTACCTTCTTTTCTGGCTCTTCTTTCCCTTTGCAAATTATATCTGATTTGTATTGTGGAATGGAAGTAGATTAGAAAGATGTACTTTCTCTAAGTACCAGACTTAAGAACTTTTGAAGATGGCCTTCCATTTCTCCTCTCTTCCTCCCACTTTTAAGGTACTGATCAGTAGGAAATAAGATTAATACATAGCTGATGTTAATTCTAGGGGAAGACTTATTAGATGAAGATGGATGATGGGATGGCAGCATACCCTTCCCCTGGTGACCCCCTCCATTCCCTAAATCTATTTCCAAAGCAGATTACTGTTACCATTACGCAGAGTTAATCAAAGCTAATGTCCTGGTGATCCTTTGGATCGCTTGTGACTCCCTTTAACTGTTGCGAGCTGACCCAGAATGGGAAAGAAATAGACTGAGCAGGGGAATTGAACACAGAGAGGGAGGGGAAGGTTCAGTGAAAACGGATTTGATTGAACTTAAGCTACTTTAACACAGGGTTTGTTCGTTCGTTCGTTCGTTCGTTCCTTCCTTTTTTTTCTTTTTCTTTCTTTTCTTTCTTTTTCTTTTTTCTTTTCTTTTCTTTTCTTTTTTCTTCTCTTCTCTTCTTTTTTCTTTTCTTTCTTTTCAATTGACAGAAAGAGAGACAGCGAGAGAGGGAACACAAGCAGGGGGAGTGGCAGAGGGAGAAGTAGACTTCCCGCTGAGCAAGGAGCCCAGTGCGGGGCTCGATCCCAGGATCCTGGGATCATGACTTGTCCGAAGGCAGATGCTTAATGACTGAGCCCCCCAGGCGCCCCAACACAGGGTTTCTTTAGTTGTTGATGGTCCAGTTTCCTTTTCAGCATTTATTCCATGTCATCTAGTTCATCCAAGCAGATTTTTAATTTTTTTTTTTTTTAAGAAAGGGAATTCTACATGTGTCCTGGAACATTTTGATAAAAGAGATTTTATCTGGTGTACAACTCCTTATAATCAAAATGCATAATTTGTGGTTTTTTAAATCCTTTATTCTTTTGCTCACAGTGCATTTTGCATAGGAAACTTAAGTATTGCTGGCATGCCAACATTATTTATAAAACAAGTGATAGTTGTAATTCTTTTTCTCCTTCCTCCTTTTATTTTTATTTATGTTTTTGTTACAGAAATGAGCCGCCAGACTGCAACAGCATTACCTACTGGAACCTCGAAGTGCACGCCGTCCCAGAGGGTGCCCGCCCTGACTGGCACAACCGCATCCAACAATGACTTGGCGAGTCTTTTTGAGTGTCCGGTCTGCTTTGACTATGTGTTACCGCCCATTCTTCAGTGTCAGAGTGGCCATCTTGTTTGTAGCAACTGTCGCCCGAAGCTCACATGTTGTCCGACTTGCCGGGGCCCTCTGGGATCCATTCGCAACCTGGCTATGGAGAAAGTGGCCAATTCCGTACTCTTCCCTTGTAAATATGCCTCTTCTGGATGTGAAATAACTTTGCCACATACAGAAAAAGCAGACCACGAAGAGCTCTGTGAGTTTAGGCCTTATTCGTGTCCGTGCCCTGGTGCTTCCTGTAAATGGCAAGGCTCTCTGGATGCTGTCATGCCCCATCTGATGCATCAGCATAAGTCCATTACGACCCTACAGGGAGAGGATATAGTTTTCCTTGCTACAGACATTAATCTTCCTGGTGCTGTTGACTGGGTGATGATGCAGTCCTGTTTTGGCTTTCACTTCATGTTAGTCTTGGAGAAACAGGAAAAGTACGATGGTCACCAGCAGTTCTTTGCAATTGTCCAGCTGATAGGAACACGCAAGCAAGCTGAAAATTTTGCTTATCGACTTGAGCTAAATGGTCATAGGCGGCGATTGACTTGGGAAGCGACACCACGCTCTATTCATGAGGGAATTGCCACAGCCATTATGAATAGTGACTGCCTAGTCTTTGACACCAGCATTGCACAGCTTTTTGCAGAAAATGGCAATTTAGGCATCAATGTAACTGTTTCCATGTGTTGAAATGGCAATCAACATTTTCTGGCCAGTGTTTAAAACCATTGCATTCAGTTTCACAGAGAATAAGGCACCCATCTGCCTGTCAACCTGAAACTTTTGGTAGGTGGAAGCTAGACACATGAAGGTAAATAAAAGGAAAGGCTGTTAAATACAGGAAACAGTTGCATGTAGTAACACTAATATATTTAAAAATAAGTCAACAGTAAACCACTGAAAAAATATATATATACACCCAAGATGGGCATCTTTTGTATTAAGAAAGGAAGCATTGTAAAATAATTCTGAATTTGTGTTGTAGATTGTACTGTTGAAAAATACTGGTTTTTTGTTTTGTGTGTTTGCCGGCGAGTTGCTGTGTGTGTGCGCGCGCGCGTGTGTGTGTGGTTTGTTTTTTTTTTTTTTTTCCTTTAACCGACAAGCCATGTTGAGTGGTCTTGGACCACTGCTTTTCCCCTTTGTGAGTCAATACATAGTGCTGCTGTGTGTGTATATTTTTTTTGTGTGTGTATTTGCTAATTTTTATTAATTCTAGTTTTTCATTAAATAAATTTGACTTTCTTTTCTGTAATTCAGGTTTTTCCTCACTTTTTTTTGTACCTTTTTAAAGTTAGTGTCTTTTTGATATGCATAATTGTTTATGGTAAAGTTTATACATATGTGTTCAATACGTATTTTCTTTTCCGCCATTAATCAGTTCATTAGAAATATTTTACATTCAACTCTTTTGAGAAGATACGAGTTCCAGAAAGGAAAGGTAACAGCAGAATTATCAGAAGCTACTTAAAGCAGCTGTAAGATGGTCTTTTGTCTGTCTGTCTGTCTCTCTTTTTCTCCAGCTGAGTCATACCTTTGAACTTACTCTTTGAAAGTTTAGGGAATACTGATTTTTTTTTTTTAATACTGGAAAAAAGAAATCAGGCTTTTTTTTTTTTCCTTTCAAATATCTTGGACAAATCACATGTTTAAAATTTGTTCTTGTATTTATTGGTTTTGCAGAAGAAGGCATCGTCTTACACAGTTTGTAATCAAAAGCAAATCATTTGTTTAAAAAAAGGCAGTTTGCAAAAAATGTTTTTGGTCTTTTATAATTCTCATTAAAAGAATATCTGGCAAATTAAAACTTTTATGTGTCTGCTTTAGCTCTAAGTTTGATTAAAATCCAAAGTTATTTTCCTGTTCAATTCTGTACTTCATAACCGAAAAAAGTGTGTATTTGGAAGTGTGATACATTTATTTTAAGCAAAAGAATGGGTATATGGTCTCTGTTTGTATACAGAGTCTTGATTTCTTCTCTCTTGCTGACATTTTTATTCTCACAGCGCTCTTAGGAGACTAATTTAAGTTAAAATGCTGATCACTTTTTTTCCCCTTAAAACAAAACAAAACAAAAACAGTAAGACTGAGTTAGTATTTCATAGCCTAATGGAGGTGAGCCTGGGCCCTACAGCAGCCTTCCAGGGACCTACATGCCACTTGTAGCTCTAGCCCATTTATCAGCTATGGGACCTTGGGCCCCCGTTTCCTAATGTGTAAAATGGGGTTAATTATGGTAGCTACCCCAAAGGGTTACACGGGATACCAGTAAGTTACCTAGAACAGTGCTTTGCACATAATAAGCACCCAACAAATGTTAGCTGCTATTACTACGCCTTTAACTAGCACCATACTGATAACTGTTGCTAATTACCCTGAGGCACCTAACAAGAATCTGAAATTGCCTTCTGAATGACCAAAGATCATTTAATTTTGTGTGGCTTTTATGGGTACAGGAAACTTCGAAAGTCAGTTAAAATTAATTGGACTGCCCCCTTATCCCAACAGCAATTCTGAATAACAGGATTTACTTCTGTTAACCATTTTCAGAATGAAGATTTGTGTAGTTTCTTCCCCTACCTAAGCATTATTTTTTGAATTGGTTATCACATGCTTGTGTAGCCATTTTTGTGGTGAAAGGGAATAGATCAGCCACAAATGTATATCTTGGTCTATTCCTATTAGTATGTGTGTTTAGAAAAACAATTTTCCCCCTACATTGGATGTATTGAATACTTTTGTGGAGGTATATCATTTTGTTTTTACAATATTTTAAAGTGTTTCTTGGATAGTAGTATAATGCTCAGTGTAGGGTTTTGAAGTTAGAAAATAGCACACACTAGATCTCTGGAACTCTGTCCGTTCAGAGATGACTAAGAACATTTTTATTTTTTGAGTCCTTTGTATTTACTTGTGCTTACACACTTATCTTGAAATCATGTAATTTTGTAACCCCCTCATGCCCTCACACGTAACTTTACTAATCTTGGAAAGACCTTGGGTAGGTTTTGGGAAAACTTAGTGAGGACTGACTAGAATTTTAGCCAGTTTTCCTGACGTTAGATACTGCTTTGTCCAGTTTGTCCATGTAAATCTTTTCCAGCTATTTATAAATAACCTGTGAACATTTATATATGTTTTCTCATTATATTCTTGGGATTCCTTTTTATTTTTTTAAGGTCTTGGTACTTTTATCATCGCTTTCTGGAGAGGTTTCGGTGGACACTTAGAGTAGCAGTGTGAAGGATTTTCGCTTTCATTGTAACTTCATGTTTTGCTAATTTCTAAGATAAGATAGTAAATTTTGTGTTTGACATCTAATAAGTTATCTTTGTTAACTATATTTTAAGTCCTCTTTGTATTCTTCGTCTACAGGGATGATGAGATCTATAGCCACATTTCTTGGTTCACTTGAGATCTTAAATCATCCTTGTTACAATCAATATTCGACTTTCTCCTATTAATGTCCTGCCTCGTTTTTTTGGTGTCTTGGTGTTTTCTTCAGGGAATTGTATAGGGCTAGGGTAGGTGATACTCTTTAATTTGGTCTTTTGCATTTATCTTCTTAAACTCGAATTTGTCCTGTTGAATTGAATCACGGGGCAGTTTAATATGTTGATGGGGAACAGGTTTTTGTTTTGATCTGAGTGATTTTTATTATAATGTTGCTTAATTTTTTTAAGGCCTACATTTCTGCAAACTACATGTATGGGAGTGGCTATAGATACTTTGGTCACCAAAAATCCTAGTGCTCTCTCCACCCCCCCACATTTAATTATAGGAAAATTTGCCTCATTTCAGTGGTTCTAACTGGAAAATAGGAATTAAGCCTACTCTACTCTCAGCACTTGATTACCTCACAACATGGATGGCACCCACCTAGTATAGGGGGCTCCTGGTGGTAGACATCACTAGTCACTGTCCAAAGATGGGAATCCAAATCCTCTGCATTTCTAGCAGCCACTACCAGAGATGGCACTGGAAATGAAACCCATTTGCATTCCCACTCTCATGAAGAGAGTCTGTGCTGTGAGCAGAAAGCAAGTCTTGACCAATGTCAAGGAAGAAGAGGAAAGAAGGAAATCTTGGTATTCTGCTCAGCACATGCACTTTTTTGCCCCTCTCTCATTAAAAAAACAGAAAATCAGGTATGTTTAGTAGCCTTTAAATACCACTCATATAACCAGGAGACCATATTTGTAATCACAGATTTATAAACTGATGTTAAATATTTTATGATCAATCACTTAGATGGCATCTTTCACTATAATCGAAAGCATTAAAGACCTCTGCCCCTGACACAGTTATCGGTAAGGTTCAAACAAAAGAGGCAGAGTCCAGTAAACATATTATGTTTTAAGCAGACCATACAGAATTTCTTGATTACCACTTAAAGCTTTATTTAGTTTTAATACTTGAGTTTTGAAAGCTCGTAAGTAAAAGGCATGCAGAGTACTGGTTAAATACATCCGAGGCTTCACCTCCAGCCCTACTGAGACTTTCTAACATTTTCAATAAAAAACCCCAGCTGACTGATACAAAGGGTGTTTGGATAACCCTCTAAAAAATGCGAGGAGAAGATCCTCAGCATCAGTGGTCATTAGGGAAACACAAGTCAAAATGAAGAGCTGCTGCTTCACACCCTGACGATGGCTATTCCCCAAAAGGAAACGGCGGTGAGGAGTGGAGAAGTTGGGGTCTTTGTGTATTGCTCATGGGGATGGCAAATGGTGCAGCAAACGCTGTGTGGAGGCAGAGTTTGGGGGTTCCTCACAAAGGTAAGCAAGGACTCACCCTGAGAACAGCAACTCTGCTTCTGGGTATATGCCCAGAACTGAGAAGCAGGGACAGGGACACGCAGGTTTGAGGCACTCTCCCCAACAGCCCAGAGGCGAAACCAAGCCAGATAGCCTCGGGTGAACGGAGGTGGGGCATGGTGCCCACGGTGTGCACACGGTGGACGCCTTCTGATGCATGCGGTCAACGTGGCTAAACCCTGACGACACGCACTTGATGGAGGTCTTGCATGAAGTAGCTGGAAGAGGCAAATGCGTAGACAGAACCGTTCCAGGGAGGTGGGTGGAAGAAAGGGGTGTTACTATTCAGTGGGTACAGTTTGAAGATCATGGAGAAGCTCTGGAGAGAGTGGTGATGTTATACACCATTGTGAACGTAATTAATGTCCCTGAATTATACACTTAAAACTGGCCAAAATGGTGAATTCTGCTCTCTTGTCACAAAAAAGCCCAAGTGAATAAAATACTTAAAAAGCCAAAACCAGTGCCAGGGACATGCAGGGCTCCCCGCGGGCTCCGTTAGGGAGGGCGGTGGGCCACAGGCTGGAGGGCGCAGAAGCAGCGTCCCGGACTTGAGGAAGGCGGTGAGTCCCACCCTTCAGTGTGTTCGGCGGCCACTGCTGGGTGTAGGAGGCCTCGCGATTCGGGTTTGGATTGCTGAAAATGAACTAACAGCACCCTCTTTTCCTCCCCTGTAAAGATGACTGCGTAGAAGAGAGAAAACCCAAACAGTGAGGACAGTCAAGGAGCTTTTTTTAAATGTCCGGATGCTTGCTCTCCCACTGGCCATAACGAGCCCCCTATCTGGAGCCCTAGATTTGGATTTGTAATTCCAGAACACGTTCAGATTTTACCAGCAGGTGTTTGGGTAACTTGCAGACCCCGTGCTCATCCAAGGCATTCCAAAGTATTTTAGCCTATCTGTTCTAACATTTTGTAATAAAAGATTCTCTAGTTTGAATTATTTTACTGTTGCGTTCTCATTCGTCTTCAGTGACACGGACTTCAGTACTACTGTTCCCATTTTACAGCAGCAGCAGCAGAAGAGCCTGACCTTGTGGTTCTCCAGAGCCTGGATTAAGGCAGTCATAGAAGAGTCTAGTCTAGTCTCGCATGGAGTCTACCAGATCTGGGGACTGGCACAGGCAGAGGGGGGAGGAAGGGGGAGTGACGAGAGTCAGGGCATCGAGTGTGGGGACCACCCCAGAATGGACGGCTGCCTCTGAGGAGTGGACTTTGTTTTTTTTAAGATAATGTGTACGAACATGGGCCACTCAGCCCGATATAAATTGCGTTTTGATTGCTACTTCCTTCAGCATAAGCAGCACCCCATATGGGGGTGTGCAAGACCTCATCCCAGGTTTCATGTCACTTGAATACTTTACTTTCCACAAAGACTAATGGTTGGTGCTATTTTCATCTTTGTCCCGTGCCCCTGCTACGTTACTAGTCTCAGGATCCAGTAACGTCTCCAGGTGACTCTGCTAAGGTAGTGGTCTACACCAACGGTTCCTGATGCTGACCACGCATCAGAATCACCTGGAGAGCTTAACTAAAGCAGATTTCCGGGCCCTCCCCCCATAGTTTGATTCAGAAGGTCTGCTGGTGGGTCTTGAGAATTTACATTTCTAACAAGTTCACAGGGAATACTGATGCTTCTGTTCTGGGCACTGATGCTCTACCCTCTCCAGACAATAATGATTTCACTGAAGACAGGAATTTAATTTTTATCAGTCCGTTTATTAACAGTTCTGTAATCAACACCAGCCACCACCTGAGTTAGATTTGTTACTGTTGTGTGTGATCATGTTCACAAATTAGGGACACTTTGCTTACCTCTACCGGTATGAACATAAATCTTTTCAGTACCTTTTGGCACTTCGTAACTTGAAATTCTGAAAAGTTGGGATTTGGGCCTACAATTTGCTATTTAAGAGACCAGGTCTGGTGTTGACAGTAAAGCCACCATCAAAAGCTGCATTAAGAACTTCATCCAGGGAGCTTGCTGTGACAAAACTTAAATCCTGTCGTACATTGCCCGGGATTTCTTCAAGGTCTTTTTCATTCCTCTGAGGAATAATGACTCGCTTCAGTCCTGCTCTGTGTGCTGCCAGCACTTTGTCTTTAATCCCACCCACCTATAAGGAGAGAAGAAAGTTACTCAGATTTCTGGTCATCCTCAGACTGTGAGAGATCCCTGACCCAACCTTTCACGGCTGTTCTGAAACATCTAAATCATCTACCATTCTGTTATAGCGTGAGCTAGGAAAGCCACTAAAAAAAAGGTTAATAAACAGTGAATTCTTTACGTTTCAATTTGTGTTCTATTTAATCCTTTTAGTGGGGGAAAATTAAAAGCTTTCTATAGATATGAGCACCTCTTATGTCCATGATTCCTTTTCACACTGTCAGGTTAGTATTTATATTCCGTTCTGTATTCAAAACAATCTTATCTATAGGTCGAGTCTGGAAAATCATTACATTATTTTGACCACAAATACCATTCCTACAGAGCTTAGTTGTGTGCCAGGATTATTTTCTCCTGTACAGGTTTAAAATCATAACCTTTGTGTCACGTGATGAAGAAAGCATATCCCAAATGATGTACACTCTTATGGTGGTTTTAAAAAATATGTCCACAATGGTCCCTTCACAAAAGGGGGAGTCTAATTCCCCTCCCCTTGAATGTGGGCCAGGCTTAGTGACTCATAAGAAACAGACTGTGGGGGAAGTGACGCTGTATGACTTTCACACTTAACCATAAAAAATGAGAGTTGTTGCTGCTAGGTCCGTCTCTGGATCTCTTGCCCTGGAGGTAGCCAGCCACCATACTGGAGATCACCCAACAGCCTCTGGAGAAGCCCTAAGGTGAGGACCTGGGGCATCCTGCCAACCACGACCCATTTGCTAAGTCAGGTGAGTGAAGCACCTCGGAAGCAGATCCCCAGCCCCAGTCGACCTGCAGATGACTGCGACTGCAATGATGGGGCTCTAAGGCAGGTGAGCTCAGCTAAGCCTCTCCTGAATTCCTGACCCACAGAAACTGTGAGAATAATAGTATTATTGTTTTGGGGGGTGTGTGAAGCAGCATCAGACTCCAAATGCAGCTCTCAGACCCCCCCAGAACATGTAGGCCCTGGTGATAGCCTCTGAGAGCCCTGCAATGACCTGCGGCCGCACGGCTGCTCCAGACCCTCCTGCACAGCTGTCGTCCGCCGTCAGGGCTCTTCTGTGTGCGGCTGAGGTACACTTTCCGAGACAAACGGACTCCTCGCATGTATGAACATGCCCACCTTTCACATTTGGTTGATGGTAAGGCTGTGTATACTAGACTGGATTTAAAATCCTTCTCCCTCAGAGTTTTGAAGGTCACTGAGGAGACTGATGAGACAGCTTTTTCCTCGGTTATCTGAACAGTCGTGGGGATGAAATCTTTCTCCTGGTTGGCGAAGGCCCTTTCAATTTGAAGATAACCCTCAATTCTAGGAAATGTTCCATTATTTCTTTGACAGTTTGTTCTATTCCGTTTTCTGTTTGCTAGAATGCCTGATAGTTAGATGCTGGATCTGTTTGACTGCTTTTTCTATTGTTTTTTTTCTGAATAGTTTTCTAATTTTAAAACCTAAGTTTTAAATCCAAGTTTTGTCCCCATTCTCTGTTCTTGAACTGTTCTCTCTGAACTGCCAGCTTTAGCAAGTCTTTCTCTTAAACGCTGTAAAGGCTTTTCACCTCTCATGGAATAGGTTTAAAACAGAGGCTTCCTCAAAGCTGCTGTGGTTCTCCCCTGTGGGCGTGGGAAAGCCTTTACCTGGGTGCTTCTCTGCCCTGAGAGCAAGGGATCAAGGGGAAGACCCATTTATTCTATGGACATTTCTGTGAATCCCCTGGTTTTGTTTCCCATCTCTTTCCTGCTCTCCTGGTCTGTGCCTTGTGGCTCTGAGCTCACGCTTTTCCCAGATTCCTTCTGGGAAGATCGTTTCTACCTCTAATTCTATTTCACCAGCCAGGAAACTATCTTCCAGAAGTTGGGTGAATTCTCAGCTGCTGACTCCCCACTCATTTTTGAGTGTTTGTATTATTCCCTTCACTCTTTGCTTAGTCTTAACATCTTGAACTAGGAAGCTGAACAGTTCATGTCAGTAAAGCATTTATATTTCCTTTTAATAGCACTGATAATATTAACCACTATTAACCACTGTTACAGTCTCTTGAAATGCAGTAATTCCTGGGTAAGGTGAAGAAAGGAGATCAGCCATTCCTTTCAAATACAGACCTATAAATGTATCATAATAATAGGATTTAGAACATGGTTGAATTCCTGGTTGAATTTTAAAAATTGGGGAAATGAGAGCAGTTTTAGTGATCTCTCAACTGGTGATTCTATGATCTACTTTCACAATTACCTCATAAAATAAAGGTGTTCTCAGAATAAAGAACATTCGTTTCTTTTCTCACTTTGCTATGAACCCACCAAAATTCTGTTGTAAACTAGTACTGGTAATCAATGACTTAAGACCCTAAATGATCGCTCAAGTTCTCTGTATTTTTTATCAGTGTTTTTGTAAGTAGTTTAGGGTATGGAGGGGAGCCCCAAAGCCCCATGTATATAGAACTTTTTACAAATTTAGCAATTAGACATGGTTGGTCTTTATTATAGTTTCCATTTTATACTTATTTTTCTATAAATCTATCAACTACAGTAATCTAAGTTATTTATAGGAGGTCTCACAGGGACTTCAAAAGTTGAGGAGTTAGCCTCAAGTTTAAAAAAATCAGCTGATATCCTGTTTTACACAGAAGTTATCTGGTTAACAATTTGCTAACTGGAACAAAACCTCCACTCTTCACCTCAGTGGCTGACATTTCGGATGACCAGACTGATACTTCTTTCCCTCATAAGTCTTCTTTGTTAGTAGAAGGGAAAACATTGTCAGTTTTTCTTTTATTTGTTCAATATTGAAAAATGTGCATTAGTTACAAGTATAAAACTTTAATGTGTTTAAAACTAAGGTATATATAGGAAGGGAAATTACTATTTAAACTTAAAATTAAAAAAATTTAAAACCATATAAATCACTTTCTTCAGACTTACTGGAAGAACAAGACCTCTCAGTGTGATTTCTCCAGTCATGGCTACATCTGAACGCACCAGCCGCCCACTAAAAAGCGAGGCAAGACAGGTTACTATGGTAACTCCAGCAGATGGTCCATCTTTTGTGACAGCACCAGCTGGGAAGTGCAGATGGATGTCTGTGTTGTCAAGAAGATCAAAACTTCCAGAAGCTTAAAAAAGGAAATAAGGATTTTAATGTAGAAAAATAAAACCTGTTTTCTTTTTCTCCTAAAAAAGAGAATCAAAAAGATAAAAATGTTTTGGGTAAATGAATCTCTCAAAATATTAATGGGTGGTACAATTAGAGTGGGGTCTGGAAGAACAGTTTCATTCTACTCTAAGGAGAATTGAAAACAAACCCTTGAAAATCAGTTTCTAGTTCAGGCGCTAGCCACATAGTCCTACCATGGGAACGAGAATTTCTGTGGGCATTCAAAATCAAAGGTTTGCTACTTTTGTGAAGGTGTAACTCTTCCTTTAGAGCCCACCTTCATCCTTGTCACAGAACTGGGAGATGCCTCCCAGATCACGATCCAAAGGCTCCTTCCTCCTCCCAGCTCGACAGCAGCGCCTCGGCCGGGGCGAGGCCACTCACCGTTAGTCAGATGATATTTCTTCGCATTGCTGCGGAGCCAGCTGATGGCAAGATGGGCAGACTCCTTCATGACGTCCCCTAGCTGGCCAGTCAGAGTTAGCTGACCTTCGCCATCCATTCGGCTTGCCTCCACGAACATGATTTCCCCACCTAAGGGGGTCCAAGCTAAACCTATTGCCACTCCTGGTTGACTCAACCGCTCGGACACCTTGAGAGAAAGAAGAAAAATGATGAGTTCAGTCAACAAGAGCCAAATTACATTCTGGCTGGCTAATCTCCCCACCACATGCCGCCACAGCCTCCTTCTTCAGTTACGCTTCAACTCAAAGTACTTACTACTGCACCTCATTTGAACCAAACTTCCTGTCTGGCACTTATTTTTACCTTAAAACATGTGTGAATAACTTTGATTAAAGAGCCACATTTAGTTACACATGCCCTAATTTTCAAAGAACAAACCCAATTGTTTTATCTACTTAAATATTTTTATTAGGCTGCATATTAATAAATACTCTAGAACCTAACTTCATTTTAGGCAATCATGCATTTGTTTCAGAAACCAGAAACCCTTTTTCAAGCAGACATTTCTTAAATGGCCAAGTGTGAAGGTCTGTGTTAAAACCCCTATATTTTACTTCTCTGCCACTTTACTTTCTGTTATTGCTGCAGAAATGCTATAAACTACTACTTCACGATGCCCCAGATCTTTTCCCGTGGGCTTGGAGGCCCACGGCGCCCTCACTGTCGCTGTCAGCCGAACGTGTCACTTGCCTGAGACCACCAGCCAGGTGATAAGCCAGTGCATGCAAGTCAGGAAAACACATAAAAAGTAACAATACAGCTGAAACACAATCACATTAACTTTTACTGCACCCTCTAAGCCTCCAAATTTCTTATCCTATAGAAGAAGCTATCCAGGGACGCCTGAGTGGCTCAGTCGGTTCAGCGTCTGCCTTCAGCTCAGGTCATGATCCCAGGGTCCTGGGATCGAGCCCCGCATCGGGCTCCCTGCTCAGCGGGGAGTCTGCTTCTCCTTCTCACTGCCGCTCCCCCTGCTTGTGCGCTTTCTCCCTAATAAATACAATTAAAAAAAAAAAAAAAGCTATCCATGTCAGAGGAACTGAGCACAACTTGTCAACCCGTCACTAATCCAGATATGAGATTTTTCCACCAGAGGTAACTTTCTCACTAAGGAGAAGAACCAATAGTCTGAGTTTCTGGTTAAAGGGCTGCATTGCTGATGCTTCTTCCTTTTCCAAGGGGCTTAGATGGTGAAAATCCTGACTTTAAAACACTCCAAAATCATGTGTGGCGTCCACGAAAGCTATTGGGCACTTATTTTTACTGGTAAACCTGCTAACATGTTTTGAAAGTTTGTTTCATTAAGTGAGAGACTCGGAAGTCCAAACTGTGGCGTTCACAGAGCCGAGCACATACTGGATCCCAAGTCCTCAGCTTTGGCACTTGTGCCCTGTTTCCATACATAGTTGAGGAGAAAGACACAAGAGATCAATACTATTTAAGGAAAACATAGAAACAACTGCTTATAAAAGTGTTCCCAAGGCTTTTTTCTAATACAAAATCCATTTTCTATCCCTTAATGACATCTACTTTGGGTGGGAATTTGCCAGGGGGTCCTGTTTTATCACATGGCTCTTTTCTAAGGCTGAGTGAACTAATCCTAAAGAATTATCCTCAGTACAATGAATCATGTGTAAATTTAACTGAAAAAGCCATTTGGCAGAATTCTGTTAGCTATAACAAGAACCATCCCTTTTTTACAGCTAAATCCTCAAAACTCATTTGTCAGAACACCAAATATGTGTCCAAAGAATCAGGAGTAAGGTGCTTGTTGATTACTGTGTCGCTTCAAGAAACCAAGCCAGTTTTCCAACTCTCCATCTGCTGGGGAGGCTTCGTACTCTGGGTAGAGGTAACTGGTGCATTGTTCACTGAACAATGGAGGGCAGGTAAGTACATATGGCCAAACCAGAAACATCCAGGCCCACAAGCATTTTATTCTGACTTGATGGTTAAGTGTTCTCATATTAACCACTGAGCACAACTTGTCAACCCGTCACTAATCCAGATATGAGATTTTTCCACCAGAGGTAACTTTCTCACTAAGGAGAAGAACCAATAGTCTGAGTTTCTGGTTAAAGGGCTGCATTGCTGATGCTTCTTCCTTTTCCAAGGGGCTTAGATGGTGAAAATCCTGACTTTAAAACACTCCAAAATCATGTGTGGCGTCCACGAAAGCTATTGGGCACTTATTTTTACTGGTAAACCTGCTAACATGTTTTGAAAGTTTGTTTCATTAAGTGAGAGACTCGGAAGTCCAAACTGTGGCGTTCACAGAGCCGAGCACATACTGGATCCCAAGTCCTCAGCTTTGGCACTTGTGCCCTGTTTCCATACATAGTTGAGGAGAAAGACACAAGAGATCAATACTATTTAAGGAAAACATAGAAACAACTGCTTATAAAAGTGTTCCCAAGGCTTTTTTCTAATACAAAATCCATTTTCTATCCCTTAATGACATCTACTTTGGGTGGGAATTTGCCAGGGGGTCCTGTTTTATCACATGGCTCTTTTCTAAGGCTGAGTGAACTAATCCTAAAGAATTATCCTCAGTACAATGAATCATGTGTAAATTTAACTGAAAAAGCCATTTGGCAGAATTCTGTTAGCTATAACAAGAACCATCCCTTTTTTACAGCTAAATCCTCAAAACTCATTTGTCAGAACACCAAATATGTGTCCAAAGAATCAGGAGTAAGGTGCTTGTTGATTACTGTGTCGCTTCAAGAAACCAAGCCAGTTTTCCAACTCTCTTCTCGGCCACTTTACTTTCTGTTATTGCTGCAGAAATGCTATAAACTACTACTTCACGATGCCCCAGATCTTTTCCCGTGGGCTTGGAGGCCCACGGCGC